CTTCATGCTCATCACCGCCCGGCGAACCTCCTCCTTCGTGACTGGGCCGTTAAGGCAGATAGGGCCGCACCACCCAGGCCAGGTGGAGCCCCTACATGCATGTCTAGAGGCCCGTGGTCATTATTGATCGAGAAAAGCTCCTTATAGAATCTGACTGCCTCTGTTTCCATTACCACCGGATCCGTGTGCCAAGACCCATCTGGAAGCAACAACCCCTGTATCTTATTCCTCCTTCTTCGTGCGAGAGTTTGAGCATGGAAGAAAGACGTATTTCGGTCCCCAAACCTCACCCACTTCTCTCTAGATTTTTGAAACCATAGATACTCCTCCTGAAGACAAGTTTCGTCCAGCTCCGCTTGTATAGCCTTTTCTAAGCGTGACAAGCTCTCCGATTCCCCTAACTCGAGTTGTAGCTGAACCCCTTTGAGACGTCGTTGCAGAGTCTTTTTTCTCATAATAATATTCCCAAACACTTCGTTATTAAACTTGATGGCATCTACACGAACAGCTTATAACCCATTGGCAAGGGTCGGCGTGCTACGGCACCACGCCTCCCTAACAATTTGCTCAAAATCCCTATGAGTGGCCCAAGCAGCTTGAAACCGAAATGGTCGATCTTGAGACTTTTCTCGTGAGCCTTCACGCCGCAATAATAGAGGGTAATGATCAGAGTAGACCCTGCACAGATTCTCAACATATGCTTCCGGAAACATTGCTTGCCACGCAACGTTACACACTGCACGGTCTAACCGCTTTGCCAACACAACCCCACGTTGGTTTCGGTACCACGTAAAGCGGAGACCCTTAGCCCCCATGTCAAGAAGATTACACTCATTCAAAACCTCCAGAAACTGTGATGCCCGTGCCATCGAGAAACGACCACCCCTAAAATACAACACAAACTTTTATATTTATGCAATATACTAATTGAAATATTTTTTACTCGAATATTTAAACGCAAGACAAGTTTTCAACTTAAATACTCTGTTATTAATTAAGCACATTAAAACTTACCCTCCCAATGAAACGTATGTGGATCACCTTACACTAGTACTTTTCATGGGCATTTAAAAGTTACTCATTGTAATTAATTTAATATTTAAAAATAATTTGATTAGTAAACTTACTAGTTTTAATTTTCAATTCTGTTCGATAATTTGATTCAATATATGTTAATTCTTTCAAGTTTAAACGTGCTTACAATTCTCAAATATATTGTCAGCAAAGTTAACACATGTAAAAATTCAATAAGACTAAATGGAGAGAAATTAAGACCAATATTCCAATACATATATGAAGTTCTGTGCATAAAAATAAGTTAGTTATTATGTGATTTTAGACAGATCAGCATTCAAAGTTATTAATTACTTTATTTATAAGACTTTTTGAAATTAAAGAATTTAAAGAATGAAGATATAAAGATTGAGTCCTATCTTCTTGTTTATTCTCTTGATTTGTCTTCAAATAGATATAACAAACTCATCTCCTATTATCATTTATATACTCGAAGACTCTTTGTTTTCACTTTCAACCAATCACAGCATTTTACTTTCTTTTTCTTCTTCGCATTATTTTCCCATCAATAACTTCTTGGGTGACCATGAAGAACTCAAGGCACTTAAAAGAAGAGAGTGGTCCAACTTCTAATCTCTCACTATGGTTTAGAAGTCCAAGGAGAGTGATACAGTCACCCCCATCGCTCCTGCGCCTCCTCAAACAAATACTTCCTTTATAGAAGAAATACAAATACAAATACCAAATCCTAACCCTAACCCTAACCCTGTGTTAGTGCCCATTTCCGAGAACATCTCTGGTGTGTGTGAAAACGTTTTCAGTGAAATCATTCCTGCACCTTTTCCTTGGGCCAAGAATCGACGAGCCGTCGTGCAGAGCCGCAACTATTTTGTGCAAAATAATTTTCACATTATCACAGGGAGAGTGAAGTGCAAGAAGTGTCAGCAAGAATTTGAGATTTCGGCCTACAACACCTCAGCCTTTCGGCCTACAACACCTCAACCTTTCGGCCTACAACAAACAATAGCAACACACAGTACAACACAACTATACCGACAACACATCAATTTCACGGTTCAACATATCATCTATAATATAAAACTACTTTTTAGTCCATTCACCAGAACAATTTAACATCAACTTCAACGTTACCTACTAGACGTCATGTCATAACTTTCCAATTCAATTCAACTCAACATAAGCATCATATTCAATAATTTCATCTCCGCGCCCGGCGCACACGTGGTTGCGCCCAGCGCGGCGCAACCAGAGAGCACCAGGGGCCAACGCGCCCCAGCGCAGGTCTACCCGCGCCCGGCGGGACTCACCCAGAGAACCTAAGGCCCTCTCACGCTTGGCGCAATCGCCATTGCGCCCAGCGCTGGCCAGGCAGAGACTCAAGGAGTCTCATGCGCCCAGCGCACCGAACCACGCGCACAGCGCGGGGGAGGCAGAGACCTCCCTTGGTCTCGCGCCCAGCGCAATTCAAATTGCGCCCAGCGCCCACAAGGCAGAGACTCCTAAGGAGTCTCGCGCCCAGCGAGACAAGGGGGCGCGCTCAGCGCCCAAAGGAAGGATCACAAAACCTGCCACAACT